CGCATTGTTTTCTCAATGCAATACACTCTACATGGAATTTCTATATCACCCATCTCACCTACATGACTCTGGTTGGTTATCTGCTATTTATTTACTAAATATTACTATATCTTGGAAAATATACTCATCTGGCTTTGTACATGAGAAACATCTGCTAGAGTGTTCTATACTTCTTTTTGGAAAGCACAAATAATTCCTTAGACAGAAGAATGATAAACTGAGTTATGGGAATACGTGTCAAAATCAAAAATTATTTCATATTTTTAATCTCATAAAATTTTATAAAATTTAACTCAAATGCATGTCATTTTTGGATTATAATATTGCACAAAGGGTTCATACCACATTCATAGTGTCCCCCATTCTCCAATTTCCTAAATTTGATACATTTTTCTTTATATAATTTTTTGAAGATTTTTTACATGAATAAAAGATAGACGATTGGATATAACTTCTTTAATTAATACAGCAAGAACATATATAAAATAAAGAAAAAGATGAAAAGAAAACAAAAGGTGAAAAGCAGTACAATAAAGAGAAGATAATTAAAGATTACCAACCAATTTATTATCCTTCCTTCCTAAGATTATATCCACCTAGTTGCCCTCTATTCCATCTTGTTTCTTAGTTTAAATTTATAAACTGAATCATACTTGCTAAAGCTCTCAGTTACTGTTCAATAATCCAAGCATTGCAACTTCAACTCTGATTTCAACTTTCTAGCTTTCTATCAATGTCATTTCAATTTTTTCTTGTCAATTTCCCTTGTTTTCCCCCCTGATGATATGTACATTTAATGATTCAACATGATTCAAAAATAAACCCATCAGTCTGAGCCCAAGGTCTCCAGCAATCTGAAAATCTAGTTCTTGGTGGACCCTTTTCTCTTATTATCTCTACAGTAACTCTGCCCGTTGCTGTAAGTGAACACTACCCTGAAACCTGAACTTAACAAGCCCTTGTAAACATGAAAAGAAAACAAAAAGAGAGAGAAACAGCTTGAAGGATGTAAGCACGATAGGTAAATAAGAAAGTGATTTTATAGGGATCTTTCTGAATGGATACCAGTTTGAAATGCACACTGCTGGAAATAGTTTTCCTTGAAGGAGAAAAACAAAAACCACTTGTTGAAAAACTGAGTGATTTTGCCCTCTCCTCTTTTATCAATTTTCCTTTTGGGCAGACATATTTTTTTTTTGGACACCTTCAAAAATGGAACTTCCAGTCCTATTCCAGCAACTGTCAAGGCCTCTAATTGCTGTTCCGAAGCCTCCCGATCCTCCTGTCTGCCACAATTACCCAAGTGGCGTCCGCAAGAAACGCCCCCTCCTCTCTCCGAAATTCAACAGGAGCCTGCCCCGCCCTCTGCCCACCTAGGTCCCCAGCGAAAAGCACCTGAACATTTCCTCGCCTTTCCCCTTCCTCCTCCCCCACGCCCCCGTTTGCTTGAACTCTTCCGCCCGAGAAAGAAACGACGTTAATTGCAGTTTCTGTCAATGGAAGTGACTCATCTTAAAGGAGAGCTGGGCGGGAGGCAGGAGAAAGGGAGCCGGGTGGGTTGGGGGAATGGGAAAAGAGAGGCCGTTTCGGCCGGGAAGGTAGCCCACAACGGTACAGAAAGAGGAAGCCCCTCAATCTCTTGGCCTCCCCTAGTAAACGCGCCCCCCCCCTCCCGCACCCCTTCGCCCTTCCCGCGCTTCTTTTCCCGCTCCTCTCAGGAAGTCCTGCCAAAGCCGCTCGCAAACAACAATGAGCCTTCAAAGGAAGCGAGAGCGGGCTCGGCTTTGGGGGACATCCTTCGGCAATAAGCCGGCGGCGACGGGGCTCCGCAAACGTGGAGCTGTCATCGCTTCTGCCGCCCACCTCCGGTGGGTTTGGCTCGGTGGGCTTCGCCTTTCTGGCGACGGGGAGGGGGGGGGGGGGGAACCGGGGGGAGGGGGGGGGGGGGGGGGGGGGGAGGGGGGGGGGGGGGGGGGGGGGCCTTGTCCAGCGAGGAGAACCGCCGGCACGAATTGTGAGAAGGCGGCTTGTGGGCGAGGACGTCCAAGCAAAAGCCGGTCTGAACAATAGAGGGGAGGGAAAGGGAGCGGGAGGCGGGGGGGCGGCGGCGGACGGGCAGAGCCGGAGCGGCGCAAGGAGGCGGCTGCCGCTACCGCTGAAGAAGATAGGGTTGCGGTGGGTGTGTAAGGTCTGGGCGTGCGTGCGTGTGTGTTGTGCGCACGCCTTTTGAGAAAGCGGCGGAGAGGGACCCCTGCCACCCTCCGCCGGGTTGTTGGCAGCGGCAGCTCCCAGCAGACACTGTGGCAAAGGATGGGAAGTGCCGAAGCGGGCTGCTGAAGACGCCTCCATCCCTCTTTCTCTCCCCCCCCCCCCCCCCCCGGCGGGCGCGCGCGCGCGCGGGCGCGTGGCTCCTCTCCCTCTCTCTGCCTCTCTCTCTCTCTCTCTCGCCCCTCTCCTCTCTGCTTCCACTCACTGGATATTACCCAGCCGCCGGGGTCGTTTGCTGCTGCTTCTGCTGCCGCCGCCGCCGCCGCCGCCGTTGCTGCTCGCGAGTCCCTTCTCCCCGTGCCCAGCCATGAACCCCGCCGAAGGGGCAGCGGAGGAAGGAGCGGTCCCGGATTCGGAGGTGGACGCCTTTTTCCGAACAGGTAGAAACGCGGAGGGGACGGCGGGGCCAGGGGGAAGTGGGCGGGGGTGGGGTGCGGGGAGGCTGACAAGACGGAGAGGCTGCCAGCGCCCAAGCGAGAGACCTGGTTCGGCGAGGTGTTGCCTTGTGCGGGGACGGTTGGCGTAGCGGCGTGCGTGAGAGGTTCGGTTCCCTTTGTTAACGGGAGTGGGGTGGGAGAGAGAGAGAGAGAGAAGCTGAAGGGTTCCTAATCGGGGAGCCTTCTTCTGGACTCACGCCTCCTTCTGATCCTCCGTCTCATCCCCCGCCCTGTATTGTTTTCCTTGGTAGTTACGAGCAAACCCTCCTCTCCACCCCACAAAACCCCACAACTTCGTGTTTCCTCTCTCTCTCTCTCTCTCTCACCCGCCTCTATTCTGGCACTGGGCAAAACGTCTCCCTGCCAAACGGTGCTTTTTGTGAGCCGAGCTTTGGTGTGCTTTTACCGCGGAAGGATGGGGTGTGTGTGTGTGTGTTGGGCGAGGGGGGGGGGAGAGAACAAACTGTTGGCTGCCTATCAGTTGTTGAAGGCAAGGCGAGGCGAGGCGAAGCGGACGGATGCTATGCTGGCTTTCCTTTCTTACGTGTTGGGTTCCATTTAGGGGTGTGCGGTTTGTGGTCTCTTGTGTGTTTTTCTTGGGCTTCGTGGCTGTCGGAACACTTACTACTATTTATTTATTTATTTTAAAAAGAAGAGGATTTTGCTTTTCCCTCGATCACTTTTGCACAACCGAGAGGCGGCTTGTTGGGTGCTTGGATTCCGCACTACTCGCATTGTTTGAAGCGTCAGTGCAGCCTGTCTCACCTCCTGACTTTTAGGCATCAAAGCCGACTGAGGTGGACGAAACGATGCTATAAATATATATATATACTATATATAATATATATATATAGTGTAACGTTTTGCCTTTCTGGGGAAAGCGGTCGCACGCTGGCTTTCTGAACACATCTTCTAAGCTGATGTATAGATCAGGTCTGGTGATGGAGCCAGAGGCTTAAATATTAGCCATCTTCGAGCTGTTACTACGATCTGGCACGGTGTTACTTTGCGCCGCCCGAGGTTTTTAAGAGGAATAAGAATTGTGGGCGGGGAAGAGGATCTTCAGTAACTACAATTTACTAGTGTGTAACAGAGATGGCATTAACTCTACGCTGTCAGATCTCAGTAATTAACATAATTGTAAATACACTCATGCCTCTTTTTCAGCGCATCTTACTGCTCTGTAGGTGATAATGATATGGATGTTTTAAAAATACAAGGGAATCTTCGGCTTACAACCGTTTATTTAATAACTGTTCAAAGTTACAATGATAGTAAAAAAAAAAAAAAAGTGTCTTGCGTTGCACTTACAACCATTGGAGCACGCCAATGGCTATGTGTCCAAAATTTGGGCGTTTGGCAACTGGCGTTTATTTGCAACGATTGCAAAGTCATGTGCGACCTTCCTAGGGTGCCTCCAACAAGCAGGAGGAAGCTGAATGTGCTTCACTTAACCATCACCTTGCTTTGCTTAATGGCTGTGGGGGGAAAAAAAAGAATCATTGAATCAGGTGACTCATTGAAGAACCACATCACGTAGTGCAGAAATTCTGGCCTCAGTTGTGGTTGTAAGTTGAGGTACTACCTGTAACCTCCATGTTTTCACTTATGACTTTTAGGTTAGCTCACCAGAATTTCAGTAGAACTCTGGGATTTTAACAGTGTACGAATGTTTCCTGGGAAGGGAAGGCTTTTCCTGCTGTGAACTTTACAGTCAGGCCTTTGAGAAGCATAAAGGGCATGGCAGGGGAACTGGGGTTTGCTCCTTAATTCTGACACCCACAATAGAAGTGTGAATGCAAGTAGCTTCATTTCTCTAAAAGGCCACAGGAGAAGAGGGAACTGTGTGAACTATGCCTGTAAATGCAAGAGGGAGCTTGTTTTACCAATGATGTTCTTAGTCTAACAAAAGTGTAAGAAATGTTCCTCCTTCAGTGTCTTCCTGACCGGGTAACAGAATTTCCTCCAAACTGGGGAAGTAGTCCAGGCAGTTGTCATTAAAGAGTGCAAAGTATCTGTTACTTTCTTTAGAGGGAAGCTTGACCTTTCTTCATGGGGGGTGGGGGTTGGTGTTTTTTTTGCTCCTACAGTGACAGTGTGCTTTGCTTTTCCAGCTGCTTTTCTTTTCAATCTTAAATTCAACCCTGATCATCTGTCCCATCCAAGGTTTCCTGCAGTTACACCAGACCATCACATTATCCCCACAACTTTTCAAGAAATTTGTTCATGTTGGACTTCCCTCTTTAGTCCCCTGCCATCCATAGAAGGTTACAGCCCACTTAAGGGAATCTGCTTTGATCTCAAAGGATAAGTATAATAAGATCTGACTGTGCTTATATCTCATGATCTTCTTGGAGCTGAATGATATTTTCATATTGAAACCTTAACAGGGAAACTAGCATGCCAATTATAATTTTTTTACAGCTTCTGGAGTACCTATGGGCTCAGTGGTGGATTCAATTTTTTTTACTACTGGTTCTGTGGGCGTGGCTTGGTGACTGTGGCAGGGGAAGGATACTATAAAATCTCCAGTCAGAGGTGGTATTTGCCAGTTCTCTGACTTACTCAATATTTCCGCTACTGGTTCTCCAGAACTGGTCAGAACTTGCTGAATACTACCCCTGTATGGGCTATATATGGTATAAAGGATACCTTTTAATTTGTACAAATCTTATCAAATTCAATATCTTTAATTCTTTCACTGACTATTTGTTTACTTTGAAAAGTAATTTCTGAATTCTTATTTTGAAGTAATAATCTGATGAGACATTTCTGGCCCAAATAGAAATTCAGTACTGAAATAATCTTGTTTATAATTTAGATTAGGAGATCTGTGGATTTATAGTATGCTTATATGTGTGGTTTTGGCATTCAGATTCATTCAAAGAAATATTTGGCACGTTGTGGCGATAAGTAGCGATTGTGTTCCATGCGGGAATTTATTATTAAGTCATAAAAACAAAAAATATTCATTTGTAGTTATCAGATAAGGCAGAATTTTAAATTAAGGAGAACAGTAGACAGCGAGAGAGAAAGATCCAGTCTTCTGACTGTCAGCTTCAAATCGACAAAATCACATTAACTATTACTGGAAAAATCATTTGCTTAGATAAATTCTCCTTCAGTTTGTATAATTTTTCTACATTGCATATGTACCATAGATATTCAACATACTTAGATCTGTTATTGTCAATACTGATAGATGCTAGAAAAGTAGAAGAGAACAACAGAACAGTGAGTAGATTGTTCAAAGAATATATTGTTGTGAAGAAAACTTTATAAAGAATTAAAAGCCATGGTTGAGTGAAATAATAACTAACAGGAATGTTCATTGTTACCAGTAGGAATGCTATTTAAATAAATAAATAATAATACATTAAAAGAAAGAACTGGGGGGACTTCAGGCTATAATATCAGATTTTGATTCTTTTTAAAAAAATATTTTGATTCTGAGGTCTTCTCAGAGCTGTTTTAGTCACAGACCAAGTTCACAACATTGCATTATAGCAATAGCAATAGCTATTATGTATATTAGACGTATATACCACTTTGCAGTGCTTTACAGCCCTTTACAGAGTCAGCATATTGTCTTCAACAGTTTGGGTTCTCATTTTACCCACCGTGGAAGGATGGAAGGCTGAGTCAACCTTGAGCTTGGTGAGATTTCAACTGCCAAATTGCAGGCATCCGGCAGTCAGCAGAAGTAGCTTGCAGTACTGCATTCTAACCACAGCACCATTGTGGCTCATAAATAAGTCATAATATGGTTTTTTATTTGGCTTAGTTTGCTATATGAATATACACTGATAGATGCTAGAAAAGGGGATTATGGCCTATTCCATGCAAATCAGGCCACAATATCTTGTCTGATAAATGGGTGGTTTTAAATCCCTAGTTCAATGTCATGTGTGAAGTCAGTCATAACTTTCCTGTTACATTCAAGAACCCAGTGTATTTGACAGTGGCTTGAGTCCTGGAAATGTAGATCGCCCTTAAAGATACCTGTGGATCTTCTCTTCTTGAATGGACCTAAACCAAAAAAGTCCAAGAAATTAGAACTTTTGTTTCTCCTCGTCTCATCTCCAAGACCCAGTAATTCTTCTAAAAGAAGAAAGACAAATTGCAAAAGTCCAGAAAAATACATTTTTCCTGCAGGGAATTTGGGATCTGTAGTCTCAGTCTCAATTCATACAAAATAAGAATCACTCTTGGAGTGCCTTCCATCCAGTTAGATTTGACAGATGGCATGTCCTAGCTCCATCTTTAAATTATCTGATGGGACCTAGGCAATATCCTTTTGCTTCCCCCCCCAGTTGTTAGGTTAGAATGTTTGAGCTGCAGTGGAAATTTTATAAACATGCTTTATGTGCTTTATTATCCCCCTTTTTTGTTTGTACTATCTTGTACATCACCCTCAATTGCTATAAGTTGGCTGGCTTAGAAATCAGAGTTTTAAATAAACAAGCATTATACATACATTTACTGGAGCATTTTCTTGCTCCAAGGTAGGTTATTGGAGCCAGGAAAAAGGAGGTGGCCATAGCTTTCAGCATGAAGGGGAACTTAATTTTGATTACCTGACTTGCAGAAATTGTAAGAGGAGAGCTATGTGACAAAAAAAGCAACAACAACAGGAATCTTTTTGCCTAGAATGCAGAGACTGCATAGAGATAGAGTAGCTAGAGAGGCTCTAGCATCTAAAAGTGTATGCTTTTAAAAATATTTGTTGTTTGCCATAAGGTGTTATCAAAGTCCTTCTAATTACTAGTAGAATATTTGTTTACCTTACTTTGGTCCCACTCAATTTATTAATATGGTAATATGTTCCTTTTGTATATGCGTATCTTTTGAGACAGTGCCTGGGGCCTGCCTGAAGTAGTCCCTGCAGTTTTCTTGGAAGACTTGCAGAAGCGCTTTACCCTTACCTTTTTCCTAGGGCTGAG